CTGTTTCTAATATCTATTATTATGAATTTTATAATTTAGTACATTGTTTACATGTTAATTCGTAGTAATTAAATGGAAATTTTGTTTGACGTCATTACACTTTGTTGTTACTATCAGCATGTGTCCATGAACATCTTTATGACCTTGAAGTTTTCAAATCTTTTTATGCATATAAACACATATATATCTTAAACTAAAGCCTTTACTTAGTTATGCCAATATGCACAGTTCACCTGCTGCACAGCCTCTACATGTGGCATTTAACTGTAAAGAGCGGTGGGAGGAGACCCATTGTATTTTCTGCCCGAGAGCCTATAACACTCTCAGTCCACCCCTGCTTCCATTGTATTTCTCCATATTGTTTCTCAAGTGAAAATATCGACCTTTTTATGTCATAACGCGTTTTGCTTGGTAAAATGTTTAATATTAAAACGTAAATATTTTATGAACATATTGTTTTACAAAAACCTAAATAGGTAAAATGTATAAGGATCAAAACACACACACACGTATAAAGAGTCAAACTTAATTTTGAATTTTATTTAATCATATCTTTTAAAAAAAATTCTCGACTTTCTATATATCTATATGCAAAGTAGACAAATGTTTAACGGAGTGTGCTTCCACTCAAGACTTCATTGAAAAAAAGAATGGGAACTGATATCGCATTCTTGATAATCATAAACGATTATAGACTCAAAATATTTAGTTGTTATCTCTTAAATTACATTTGTTGCTTTCTTTTCCGACTTTAACTAGAACGTTCAATGCGCATCATAATACAATAATCATCTGTTGTAGTTCGATACTGATAATATTTGCAACCTCAATAATGCAGGCACACGTGGCTTAGACTGAAACTGAAAGCATGCAGAAGCTCGCAATTTGAAGTCTGGTTTGTTTTAGATATAACTCTTTTTTTGTCCTAAGAAAACAATACTGGAACTCTACATCAAGGAATTCAACAGTTTTAGAAACACAGAATTCATTGTCACATCAACGTAGAATGTTGTACCAGTTAAGGTTGTGTTTTACTTTTGCTTTCAGATTGTAAAGGACTCCACATTGATTTTATTTATTTACAGTTAAAATATAATGTACATCTACTACTTTGTGTTTGGCATAAAGTATACTAAGTATATTGTTAATCTGTTTCTATATATACATTTTCGAGTATGTGTGACAGAATTTGTATTGTGTATTGTTGATGTAGACGCCGTTCTCCTTAAAGTAGTATGCCTCACTGGTTGATGATACAGGTAAAGAAATCTATGTATACATATGATGGTAAGATTGAATGAGATTTTTACAATAACAAGCAGTTTATTTTACTTATATACATGGCTAAAATAAACGTTTGTACAGAGTTCAGTTTTGTTCATAATGTATTTCAGTTTTCGTTGATGAGAATAAAAATCTTTGTTTCAACATTCCTTGTTTAGATAATGAATGATAACAGACAAGATGTACTGATGTTGTAGATTCACATAACTATAAAGTTGGAAATGAACGGCAAGTTGTCGTGGTAGTTAATGTGCAACTCTGAGATTGTTGTGTTTGATAGCGTTGCTGTGTTTCATTAAAGGTCTAATGGTGTGATATTTTGACATGGTTACTCACTTTACCTGTTGTTTTTTTTAAAAAAAAAACGATAGAAAATGCTAAAAATATTCATTTGTGCATTTTCGTTGGTTGAAAAATATATTTTTTTGATTGCTGTTTGAATGTATTCTCTGGAACTCTATCTCTGGATAAAATTAAAATTATTTTTCCCTCGGCTTTACAAGCGTGAATATATTCACTACAAACTTCAACCTATGCCGTTCCTTTGTCCATAGACAATTACTTTATAATTCTGGTAGTATAAGCCAACAATGCTAAAATTTAAGACGCATAGAAATAGAATCAATTCTAGATAAGTAAATTCCATCTAGCGCTTGTTGATTGGACATTTTAAGCGTCTATTGGCCAGACGTCTATGGTGGAAGGCAACAAATACATATGGAACTACTTACTTTTTTTTATTATCATTTATTGAAAATCCACATTTCACGTTATTTGAGGACGATAGCCTTGGAAATTTTCAATTTGGCAATTCAGCAGATTTGTTTTGGTTCAAAAACTTTTACTGGAAGCCTTCCAATGATTTCGGTAGTTCTTATCCAGTGGGTCATTTGCAGAAATTCAAGTTCTTGCTATATATTTTAGTGGGACACCGTCAATGATGATGGTTGGATATAGTGGAGGTGAAAGAAACAAAAACTGTATCTTTTTCTAAATTAGTCATCAATCTTAACAGTCTGAATGCCACTACCAACGTTTCTATAGTTGTCAGCAAATGGCTTTCTTAATGTTCCACAAGGACAAACAGAATTTTTATGAAATTCTCAAGTATCAGAAAACGAGGCAGCAAAAATAAAAGAAGGAACTGTCATAATTCTACATCTGCTATGTTCAAGGAATTAAAGCAAAACTAAGTTGAATAAAATTGAGATCATCAAATAACTCTATTTTCACTCTGATCTTGAAATTAAAAAAGATTGGGTATTTTGTATTGCATAATATCTAAATGTAAAACTTTTAATGGAATTTACTTGAGCAACGGAAATTTTAAACGTGACATAAAAATTACTTCACTGTATCAAATACCAGTTTTAAGTTATCAAATACAGAGTTTATGTTTTGATCTTAACATCATTCCAATTTGTTTGACTGTAAAATCCGTCAAAATCCACACTTACTTTCGGATATAGTGTTATAGAAATATTGGAAATTAGTAACAGTAATGATATAGTAATTATTATATGGACAAGGATTTTTCTCAGTTGTTAATACAGAAAGGATTGTTACAATCTGACTTGGAGTCCTTCTTTTGGTTCAGTGCTACAGTCGCGTCACAAAACTTCTACCCAGCAATTTGTACACATTTTCTAGAACTACAAATCTCTTTTCATTGGTAACTTTATCTTCATCGACTTGGACAGTGAACTCTTTGATTGACTTATGGGTTATATACATATCCAACATGGTTTGATGGTTAACTCGAAGAAATGTGTTGTCTATTTTGAACTTAAACTTTGTCTTTGATAAGGGTGGGATAGAATTGACCTCTTCAGTATGAGTTTAAAATAGTCGAAATGAAATTGAAACACACATTTTAGAGTTCTTGTAATTAATATGACTTAATAATCCCATTCAAAGTTTCTCTAGTAATCTATATGTGCATCCAAAATGTTTTATCAATCTATCTGAATGATGCATTTTAGATCTGTAGGCTACACTCTGTGCACTTGTTGAGCCATAAAAATCGTTGTTGCTTAACTTTATATTCCTCTTATAAGTCCTCTTTCCTATGAATAAGGACTTCACTTAACTGTTAACAAAGTCATTTAGCAATAGATTACCAATAACTGGTGTGGTGCACAATAGTGCTTTCATGTCCAGGTATAAATTGACCTCTAAACTTTCTAATGCATGGCATATAGTGCTGATGGTTACAAAGAACCTATTGCTAATGGGAAGGTAAAAATGCATAAACCTTTCATTGATACCTAGGTGTAATCTGGGAATTTAATTCAAAAGATATGACGGTGGGTAATCACAATCTATGCGTTTAAACTTTTTAGTCAGCTCTTTTTTGGCTATTGCATCTAGGTATAATTTTCTCTACTCAGCTGAATGCACTTATCACATACCAACACAGAGTAACAGTACCCTACTAAAACAGTTAAAGATTTATTATTGCCAACAGCAGGGAAGAATTCTTGATCTGTCCATGGCACTAAATAAATAATAATAAGAAAAATGATTATAATAACATTTTTAAGCATTAAAATTACTTTATTTTCACGGAGTTCCAATAAAATTACACAGTAGTAAAGAAATACATTGATTAAACGTGTATCATAGCAAATTAGCCCATATATCGCTGAAAATAAATCAAGCAACAATTTTATGTTTTTATTTTACCATTTCCCTTGAAATACCAGGTCACTCGAATTAGTATTTTAAAATTCAATGCAATTTCTTTCTATGCTGTTTAGTTAAACAGTTTATTGTTAAACTTTAACAATAATATACTTTTTAACAGTTAAAGTATATGTGCGCGCGTAATTGTGTGTGTGTGTGCAGTTGGTTAAAAAAATACAAAAACAAATTGAATTGACTTTTTGTTGATCATTGCTTCAAAATTTATGTTTTACATTTTTTAATTACAGGCACGCAGCGAAAGACTTGTTTTCAATTTCATTTGTGTTTAGGTTAGTTTTGACTTTTGAAGTTTCTGGGAGTTACTCAGTTACAGAGCTATTGTGCAATGAAACGAAGAAAGAAAAATTAATTATTCTTGGTTTGAAATGGGGAGTAAATGATACTTTAAAAATAAATTATTAGTTTAAAGTTTAAGTAAAAAATTATTAGTTTAAAGTTTAAGTAAAAGAAAAAATATAAATCAATTCATCGTTATTTTTTTTCTTTGCTTTATGTTCATTTAAAAAACAATTCGCCGATAAAAAATTAGAAGTTACTTAAGAAAGTCCTTTCTTTACTTGTTTCAAAAATCAAACATTTCATTTCACTGGTAAAATTTCAAGCTTCAGTAAAACAGATTTGTTCAAAAAAATGTTTTAAGTCCGATATAAAAAGTTTTTTTCAATTATTCTGTAGTGCAGTGTAAAAAAGAAAAAAGAAAAAATGCTCTCATTTATATCTAAATAAATTATTTTAAATTAAAAACTTAAAGAAACGGTGTCCTTGACAAGAACTGTCATATGATAAATTTCAATTCCTAGTTTGTTGAAAACAATTCAGAGGTCCATTATAGTTTTTCTCTTTGGTATGTATCGAAGTCAAAATTATCCATTACGATGATGATGATGATGTTGCATCTGCCTTTTTCTTTATTGAGGAGATGTTTCTGCTACTAATGATGCTCTAACCGTCGAAACTTCTTTCTTTCTCATTCTTTTTCTCTTCGTGCCTTTTAGTAAATATAACCTCAGATGCTGGTAATTTGTGACATTGCTTTCGCCTACTGCTACCTTTCCTTCTCATCTTTTTTTCTGTTGTGGCTGGCAGCCCAGGTTTCCTTTCCTTTAAAGGTAGGTGGGGTACCTGGTTTGGGCCTGCTACTTTACTTCTCGTTCTTTCTCTGTTTGTCTGCTTTCTTGAAAGTTCTGTTGCTAGACTGCTGCGCTCACTGTTGTCCATTCTCTGAGGATTTTGCTCATTACAATCTTTTTAAAATATCAACTCTTTCCCTTGAGGTTTTTTTTTGGGTTACCTGGTCATATCAAGCTATGCCGCATTCAGGACCTGTGAGTAATTAACTTTCTACCCTATTCTTTCTCTCCCTCCCTCTTGAATCGTACGTATCCTTTATTTCTGGCTTTATAATGAAAATATATATTTGACGCCACGGTAATTACATGGCACATAACCCGTAAATAATGAATACCATTCCCTTTATAAAAAACAAAAACAAAAAAAAACAAAAAAACTAAAAAACTTTTGCAATATTTTGCTTTGAAACAGTTTTACTTTTAGACATAATTTTATTCGTTATTAATTTACAGTGCATTTTTTAAATTTCATTTTAAGTGCATTTTAATTTCAAAGTTTCAACTCAATTTATTCGGTTGTAATTTTGTTGATTCCCCCAAGATGTCTTCCTAAGAATATCGTGATTCTCAAAAACCTGAAATAAATTTCTGAGATACTTTTCACGAGAATATTTTAATTGTCAGCAGCACGTTAAGAATTATTATACAACATATTTGGACCATATATGGGAAAGAACATATATCATAGAGACTTCTTGGTTAATTTTATTTTTATTTAAACAAATGTATAAATAAGTTTCAGTATTAAGATTATTTGTCTTCAGATATCAATTTAATTTGTCAATTCAAAACTGATATTTTCACAAAGGAAAGTTCTGAAGATTTAAAATAAATCAATTTTGGGTACAGAAAAAATGAAAACGAATATTGTCATATAATTCTTATAAATTAGATTCGCCAAAACTAGTTTGATTCCAAATCATTTTCTGTTTACATAAAATCTGGGGAAAACTTTTGTTACTTTTGAAAATGAATCCTATAAATTTAATTAATTACCTGATATGATTGAATAGTTTTGGAAAAGCAAGTATTTGTCATTAGCCATGCATGAATGTGTGTACTTTTAAAGAACAATCTGATGGTTGTAAGTATGTTTGTAAAAGTTTTACCCAAATGTGATTTGTGAGAGTCAGAGTTCATATTTGTCCTGAAGAAATTAGTATTTCTTGGTTTAGTGTTCACAAGATAATTATGAATTGAAGGGCAAATAGTATTGCAAAAAAAAAAAAAGTCTATACTTATTCACTGGTAAGTTGCCAAATGTCAATTATATTCTTACATTTTCTTTGCTTCTAAATTGTAGCAAAATTTACCATAGACACTGGCAGATGAATGGACTTCTTCATTTTAAACTTGTCTCTTTAATATAAAAATTAAATGGATTTGACATATGAGACCCCTCCGACTTTTTTTTAAATGACTATCTTCATGTAAGAGTAAATTTAAAGGAGGTATGGTCTTCTTTGTCATTAAATACAGTAACCCTTAACAATACCATGAAGTTGAAATACTACAGTTGATTCATTCTTAGGATTTCTCTCTTTATCAATAAAAATAATCAATTTTGCTCTTTATGGACATAAAATGGAGTATATTTTGTGTACTTTAATAGGTTTTATTATCATTATTATTCTTTAAAACTGATTATTACTTAACCATTATGATATATGCACACACAAATATTTGGCAAGAAAAAATACCCCTATGTACTTTTAAGGCAATTTTAAAATTTTGGTACCAAGCCTCAAATATTAAACCAAATCATTCAGCTAAAATTTAAAATTAATTTCAATGCTTCTTTATTTTCGATTCTAGAAAAAAAGACTAAAAATGTAACATATATGTTTAGTAATTAATGCATAAATATATAAATTCATATATGTAGACTCAGATTTGTATGTGTGTAGGGGGAATCATTAACTCTGTAGCTTAGCATATCAAGATTAGATGTTGAATTTTGAACTGAAATTTCTACAGTATTATATTAATCACTGAATTAAATTCATTGGCATGGAAGATTACACTGAAAAATAAATATTTGTTGTATAGAATATATGCTTTTTTCATGACATGAGCCCAGGACTTAATAAGGTACTTGAAGCACATCAATTATACACACATTTGTGGTAAAATTTATCAAAATTTGCCTAACAGTGTTTTTTTGTCTTTTTCTTTGTAGGCATCCGGAGTTGGGATTGCCAATGAATCGTTAGAAGCTTACCAGGAAATTAAATTGGGGCACAAATACAGATATATCATTTTCAGGTTGTCACCTGACCTGAGAGAAGTGATTGTTGAGAAGAAAGGCAATCTAA